TATAATTTAATTTACAGTCTCAGTTGTTTCTTATTTGCCATCTGACCAGGTAATTACTTTTAAGTAAAGCTATGTCTAGGATGAAAGAAAGCAGACTGGAGATCCGAAGTCATCTGTGTGGTCATATGACAGTATTGTTTTGTTCTGTTGTTTGCTTTGTGTTTGTTGTTCAAAGTGTAAATTTAAGGGAGAGGACAGAGTTAGGAGGAACCGTTCCGAAGCTGTCCCTGGAGGGAGCCCCTTGTATAAATTTTATTCTTTGACTAAGAGCTTTTGTTATAAACTAAGTGTTTTGAATTAGCGGATTATTACATTTTTCCATTCAGTTGTAAGTCTGGCCCCAGGCTATGAAATTAGAGGTTGTCCAACATGTTTCAAAAACTGTTTTGCCATAAAGTGCAACTGGGGAGAGATGTGAGGTGCATTCTTTTCCTTTGTTCGTTTTCATACTATTTCCTGGTCTGTGTTCTTTTCCTCCTTGTTCCTGTTCCTTGACCCCAGAATGTACTTTCCTAGGGCCTGCTTATATCCCGTTTCTGACTCTTGTCTTGCGTATCCCCAGTTCTCTGAGGTTAATATAAAGGGACAAAAGAACCAGAACTCAGTACAATATCATATTCACGTTAAAGAGAAAGAAATAACGTCTCTCTGAGGTGACTCCTCTTCTTCCCCGCAGGGATTGTGTGTGCATGTGTGTGTGTGTGTGTGCACTTTTTCTTTTAGCCAGGTACTTATATGATAATTAAAAATACAGATATAAATAGTTAGGGTACCTTATTTTTTTTAATGATCATGGTACTTGTTCTAATTTCTCCTTTTGAGTGGGAAGTTGGGGTTTGGGGAGTTGTGACAGCTAGATGCAAATACGACCACACTTTGGAACAATTACACTGTTGATTCTCAGTCACCAGATAAAACAAAAAGCAGCAGCTGGGTGAGAAGACTGGGGTACTACTTTGCACCAAAATGTAACCAAGTCGTCACTTACAGCTCAATGGAGATTCTGTTGTAAAGTTTTACTGCTGGTAAAACCCTCCTTTGGTGTGGCAGGCAGAGCCTGGGGGTGTGGTCAGGCAAACAATAGTTTGGCTCTTTTTTCCCCCCTAAATCAGTTCCAATGCCTGAATTAACTGGAGAGTCAAAGAATCAACCCAGACTTGCTCTGAGACTTGTCGGCTCCAGTACAAAGATCTGGACGTTCCTCGTGGCCTGGTGAAAACCGGGATCACATTTGCTTCACCTTGACTTCCGGAGAGGCAGCCTGCACTTCTGTGGGCTCCAGAGAGGGGACACTTCTGCCCTGTTGGAGAGAAAACTCAATAAATGAGCCCCAGGCAGAAAGACGGATGTGGCCGTCATGCAAATAAGGACTGTGATTGGCTTTCTCTTTCTGTACGTGTCACTGGCGGCTCTCAGCCTTAAAGATTAGGTTTCAGTGGGAGATTTTCAGGTTCAAGGACTGTTAATGGTTTGTAGCTGCCTGACAATAAGCTCAACCTCCAGGTTACATCACCCCGGGCAGATGTCTAATGATTGCAGAACAGAGCAAGGAGTGAGAATCCAGAGCGAAGGATACAGCTTGCCACCTGCCTGCTGGCCTGAGCTGTTAATGTGATTTACGTTTCTGAGCCCTATGTAGGCATCCTGGAGATGGTGGTCTTCATCAATGCGAAGATCAAGTCTTTAATTAAACTTTTTAAGAAGAAAAGTAAGTAGTTTCTTTTCTCCCCACTGCGTGTGTGTGTGCATTTGATGTGCTGTTTCATCCTCTCCCGTGGCATTAGAGTGTGGAGCAGCATACTCCAAGCTCCATTCTCTACCAGGTTGTTCGGATACCTCTGCCTTTGTAACCGGGGGCAGAATTATGTGGTCTCAGCATGCCTTATTTATTTGTGGCTCAGATTTCAGGTGAATTCGCTGCTTTTGTGCTTCTCGAAAGAAGCCCTTTGAGGAAGGGGGGAAACTTTGTGTTCACTTTTTGATGTGCGTGTTTTATTATTCTTTGGCTTACTGTTCGGGGAACCTCTGTGTAATGTGCCACGTATTCTTGGTGGCAAAGGTCCTCTAAGCCGCTCGGCACTCTGTTTTTCATCTCAGAGCTGGAGGACACACTGTCTAGGCTGGTCAGTCCTTGGGAAGTGCACAGCTCTCGTGGTGTGGCTTCGCGGTGTGGCTTCGCGGTGCTCTTACCATTGGTTTACATCTCTTTAATCCAGGTGCTTCTTCAGTCCCTGGAAAAGTATAATTTTTATACATACATGGTTTTATTTTTACATAGTTATTGATCGATGAGTTTTAGTTTAGTTTTGGGGCCAGTGATTTAAACTGGGTAAATGTGCATGGGTAGGAACCATTGGTAAGAGGAACTTTGAGGGAAGCAACAAAGAACTATAGCCTGGGATTGTGTTCTGCAGCTCTGTTTTCGAAGGCTGTCTTCGGACAGGCTGATTAAAATCTGCCCTCCAAGAGGGAGCAAACCAGGGAAGAGACAACTGCTCTTCATCGGAGCCAGGTGGGGGCCGTCCAGTGGGACTGATGGTGTGATTACACAGACGCGAATACCATTGCCGGATGTGATGTGTCACTGGCAAATAGGAAGAGTTTCAGTATTTTCCAGCTATGAAGGATGGTAATTCAATCTTTCAGATACGTGGACATCAGCACAAAACATTGTCATTAAGTAGGCCTCCTCTTTGGGGTACATACATATGGTGAGTTCATCACTCTGCAAGATTTTCAGATATGTGCGTAAGAACTATGGCAGGTCTCTGTGGATGTTACGGATTAAGACTGAGGACCCGCCCTGGCCGGTTTGGCTCAGCGGTTGGAGCGTCAGCCTGCGGTTCAGAGAGGCCCGGGTTCGGTTCCCGCTAAGGGCACGTACCTCGGTTGCAGTTTGTCCCCGGCCCTGGTTGGACGTGCGGGTGGCAGCCACTCGATGTGTCCCTTCACATCGATGTTTCTATCTCTCTCTCTCTCTCTCCCTCCCGCTCTATCTGAACAAAAAATGGAAAAATGTCCTCGGGAGAGGATAAAAAAAAAAAAAAAAAAAAGACTGAGGGCTGTATGCATTATGCAAAACATTTGTTCGACAAGAGGTTACTTGAAATAGTAGGTGCCTAATGTGCATGCTTCTTTGTCGAACATTCAAAGTAGAAAGCACACAGGACATTTCTGTTTTTAACTTGATGTCTAGTTCTCCATGCTTGTTTTCCCATTGAGCGATTGATGGAGAAGCTGGGGTCATTTATGAAGTGAGCTATTTGGAGGCAAGGCTCGAGGAACTTAGTAGCTGCAGAGAAGATGGTATGTGGTGTGAGAGCTCACTGTGGCTCGGATCCGGGGTGCTGAGGAAGGCCTGCTTCCTCCTTAATGATGGTGAAGTCAGGGGCTCCTTCGGAGTAATTTCACTGCTTCTGCCACAATCGTACTTTATTTTGTGAGCTAAGACTTTACATACATTAGTCCACTTGATCTATATAATAGCTCTAGTAGCGGTACTATGGGGTCCACTGTGTTCATTTTAAATATGTTCAAACAGAAAGTTGAGTAGTTCATGCATGCCTGTTCATTTTATTTTGAGACTCTGTTTTGTGGGCTGGTTACCAGATACGTGGTATTGGTAAATGTGTGTATTGCACTCTGTAGCATAGGTCAGGGTTAGGAAGGACCTGCCCTGACTCACAATTCTAGTATCTGCTGATTTTGCAGGTGTTATACTTGACACACACACACACACACCCCATAAATGACTCAGCACAGGGTCTTTCTCTTTTCTGTGCTTGGCTCACGGCGACAGATGTGTAGAATGTATTGAGAAATCACTGATGACTTTGTTTGGTGCTCCGCTGGTATGCCATTTTAGCTTGTGCCGTCAGGTCAGGGAAAGTGAGGTAGAAAGAGGTCTCGAGCCCTAGCGGGGAATAAAGGAAAATTATTGTAGAGATTTAGTATTCTCTTATGATTACCTGTCATCTTCCTCCCACCCCCCATCCCCCCATGTTTTCCTCTCTTTTGTTCTGGAAAAATTCAGTTGAATTGGATTATGTTGGGAAAAGTAAATTATATTAGAATAAAAACAACATTTTAATATAAAAGTATTTCATGATAGAAAGAAATACAGAGAAAATTTTGTAGCACAAATTGATTTCTACTTCTATTAGATATGTTATTTAAATGTATTACTTTGTTTTGCTTTTTTGTTTGTTTGTTTTTTATCCTCACCCGAGGACATTTTTTCGTTTTTTTGTTCAGATAGAGTGGGAGGGAGAGAGAGGAAGAGGGAGAGAGAGGAAGAGAGAGAGAGAGAGAGAGAAACATCGATGGGAAAGGGACACATCCAGTGGTTGCCACCCACACAACCCAACCAGGGCGGGGGACAAACTGCAACCGAGGTACATGCTCTTAGCGGGAACCGAACCCAGGTCTCTCTGGACCGCAGACTGACGCTCTAACCGCTGAGCCAAACCGACCAGGGCTAGATGTATTACTTAGTTTATGCTTAATTTTTCATTTTAACTGAGTTTATAACAGTGATGTTTTATAATAATGCTTTAGGAAGGAACTATTTGGTCTCAGCTCCTCAGTAGGAAATGTGTTTCTGTTTTGACAATCTAACACTGATGCAGTGGCGTTGTATAGCTGAATCACAGATGGATACCTGTCGTGGTGGATTTAAGTAGGAACTGGAGGTCTCTATCAGTTTTGTCAGTCATTTTCTAACATCGGATTAGAGGGAGGGCCTAAAATGCTAGGAAGCAATGAACTGAGTAAACATTTCTACCAAAACTCGATGGACAATTTCACAGGTTTCTTTAGCGACAAAACACTGTGGGAAGGACCCCTGGAGTCTCAGATTAAATCTCAGAATTCGCTCCATGTACCTCGTGCTGGCCCTTATCCTTGGATGTGTTCGGCACCAAGAACCCATCTGGATGTAATACATTTGGAGCCCATGAAGCTTAACTTGACAGCTGAATTGATTCTCTTTGTTTCTACAGCGGTTTCCAACCTCGATGAGGAGAGCAGATGGACAGTCCACTACACTGCTCCGTGGCACCAGCAGGAGAACGTGTTCCTGCCCACCACGAGACCCCCCTGCGTGGAGGACCTGCACCGCCAGGCCAAGCTCAACCTCAAATCCGTGCTGAGGGGTAAGACCCAGACCTGCACGCTGCTGGGATGACGGGCAGTTCGAGTGGAAAGCATACATTTGATTGGTACTTGTAAAAGAAGACCTGTTTATAATGAACATACAGTATGCGGTGTCTTTTTGAGGTATCATAATATTCTCAACCTACATGCCTAATATGTTCTGGTTTATGCAGAAACTGCCTATTTACAAACATGTCCTCAGAGAACCCATACCAGTTTGGAAACTCGTGAGCGAGTTTAGACCACGAGTTCTAATTTCGTCCGGTTAAACCCCCGCTGACATGGGAAGTTTGGCCACTGCCCTTTTGGAAACCTCTGCTGGTATTCAAAGCAGATTTGTTAAAGCTAAACTTTCTGCTAGTTTGTTCTGCTAGCAAGTTGGGAGGAAGGGGGACTGTGTACAGACTTCGAAGGAGTGGAGATGGACTTACTAGAACTTGGGCAGCACCCGCTGGACTCCCGATGGGCAGAGTGCACGGCAGTCAGCTGGAAATACAGGAAAGGTGTCATCCTGTGTCTAGTTTTAAAATTCTCATTTTTACTTCAACTTATTGTTGGTGTTACGGAGCGTAAATATGTGACAAAAAGGGCATTCGAATAACTGTAAAGAAGGGAGGAAGTTCTTTAAAAGAGGGAGGAGTAACTTTTTAAAATTTAAAGACTTTTTCTTAAAACAGCGAACCCATGTTCTTATTCTACTAGCTGCTGCTTTACCGGTTTCCTCCTGCCATGCTATCCTGGGACATAATTATACTAAAAAAGTACTTGTTGTTTATCTAAAATTTAATTTAACTGGGTGTCCTGTATCTTATCTAACTGTGAAAGACTTGAATCTGGGAGAAACACTGTCATTGATGGACTCAGGAAAACCCAGCATGAGGACCCCCTCTAATTTTTATGATAGTGTTTACTTGTATATCAGTCATTCATTAGGCAATTCATTCATGAATGTACTGTTACCATGCTACTGATTACTAACAGAAATTCATTAAACACTTCACTATATGCCAAGTATCATTCTAAATCCAATACCGGTGTTACCTCATTTAAGCCTACAATAATCCTGCTGCTTACTATTACTGTGCCAGTTTTACATATTAAAAAACGGAGGCACAAAGATTAGAAGGGTTTTCACCATCTCAAAATTAGTGGTCCGACTAGGACTTCCACTTGGACTCTCAGGCAGCAGAGCTCATGCTCTAAACTGCTGCGTTCTATTGCCTGCAGCAACCATCTGTTAGAAATCCGTGTTCCGGCAGAAGTGCAGAATACAAAGGCAGGGTCTTGGCTCTCGGGGAATTTATACTTTTATTTGTAGTGCAAATCACAATGTGAAAATACTCAAGATGGGCCAAAATTTTCTGTATGGGAGCTAGAGAAAGCGGATCATTTCTGCTTAGAGAGAGAGAGGGAATCAAAGGACTTACAATAGATTTGGTATTCTGAACAGAACTGTACAGACCACAGATCATAGCCCTCGTTTTTGTTCCTTTAATCTTTTGTAACACTTAGATTGTCTCATGTATCTTAATCATCTATCTTGTATCTTAACAGTCTTGGCATTTAACTGTCCAGAAATGAGGACATTATCGGGTTCCCTTTCTCGTGAACCCAAGGGACCTATATACTTAGTGACTGCAAGCTTACATGAGAAGAATGGCATTTGTCCGACTCTTGTATGACCTTGGAGTGTACTTTGACCTTTGCCTTCCTGATGTTGGTCATGTACTGCACCTAAATGCAACCACTAGTTCTCCAAATCTCTTCAGTTCCTAGTGGATATCTTTAGTAAATTTTGACAAGGAACTTCTCTACTAGCTTACCATCCTCGCCCACGTCATTAGGATTGCTCCCAGGACCGACCCCCAAGGCAGTGCCATGTCTCAGCTGGGCACTGCGGTCTGGCCCGTGGAGAAAGCTTGCAGAAAGGGCGGGAGTTTGGATATTCAGGCCCAGCTCGTTTTGCTCACTGTCCAGGAAGCTGTACGTCCCCAGGACTTGCATGTTTTGTCAAGCACCAGATCACAGCTTCTCTTTTCCTCCCTTCGACAGTAAGCCTCTGCATCCAGACTTTTCTGATATCCTTTTCTTTTTGAGTATTCCGTAGACCCAAATGAAATAGCATCACCACTGGTTTGCCCATACTTGGCTTTAATTTTGAAAAGGTAAATGTTTAGCAGTGGCTTTAATGACCTAAAATGGTTCACTGAAGGGATTTACCACTAATAAAATTATCAGCTCATATTTTAAAGTCTGGATTTAAATACTCCTTAAGAGGTTGTAGCTAAATAATAACTTTAAGAACAGGGGTTAGTGAAGGTGAAATAAGAAAGAGCATCTGAGTTCTTTCTTCGTTTATTTTCTTTCAATCGTGTGAATAGGACTTCATATACCACTTCCCCTAGACCATGTTAGCAGCCTGAGATCATCAGAACATGCGTGCAGAGTACTTATTGTCTCATCATCAGTGAAGATTAAAAAGAAAAAACTCAGCCCCTGAATATGTGACACGATTAAGGTATGAGGTTATATAAAGGTATCAGTCTAAGTTAATTTGACCTCCACGTTCTTTGTTTAAAAATCTAGAAAGGTAGCTGAGTATTCACAATGAATAATCTAGTTTGTTCCTTCTGTTCCTACTGTGGACCTTGAGCATAATTTTAAGGAAGGAATACTACTCTCTAATGTTAAACAGGTTGGTGCTTTTTCATAGTCATTAAGTACTCATTGTATGAACTCATATCAGCTTTTATGGGGAGCTCAGCTCTCCTCTTGAGGATCATAAAATATGGAAGGAAATGATACAGTGTTGTTAACATTTGCTTATTAAGCCCGACTGGTGTGGCTCAGCGATTGAGCATCGACCCATGCACCAAGAGGTCGCATGCCCAGGTTGTGGGCCAAATCCCCAGTGGGGGGCATGCAGGTGGTGGCCAGTTGATGTTCTCTCTCATCAATGTTTCCACCTGTCTCTCCCTCTCCCTTCCTCTCTAAAATCAATAAAGAAAACAACAACAACAGTTGCTTATTAAAGTAATGCAGAAATGCTTAGTGGTCAGTTGAGTGGTTGAGGAAGGCACCAGGGTTACTGAAAGCATTATTAAAAAACTAAGTTTGAATTAGGAAATTAAGGCAAATAATAGGCACAATTTATTAAGGATTTGAGCATCAATTCTCTACTATGACAGGGGTTTTTAAATGAATGGATAAAAGTGCGTGCGTCTTTAAAGAGCTGCTCTTGCTCTTGTGTCAAGACCTCAGTAAACAGACAGTGGTGTGAGACCTGTGTGAGGCTCCGTGGTGCGAAGGGAGGGAGAGCCCAATGCTGGCAGGGGACCGCTGTTGGGAGACCACCCCCTGCCCTCCCATCCCCCACTCTCCCATCCCCCACTGGAGAGGGGGTGGGCCTCCAGGGCATTTGAAATGGCTTGTGGGACACCAGAGGTGTCTCCCATGTGCCATTTCTCTCTATTCTGGTCCAAAAAGAGCAGAGATCTTTAGTATTTATTGTTGGATAGTCTCTGGAGAATTTGGTGGCCATGCTCTTAGATCAAATGATTTGGTTTTGTTGATTGATGTTTTACTACCAGAGATAAACATGTGCAGTAAGTTCTCACTTGGAACTACAGCAAAAGGACATATGGTGACACCAATTTTATAGGCTAATTGATATAAACAAGAGTTACTTTCATACAGTATCTCATAAACCTTATAACAACACACTGTTGAAAGAACAACGCTGTTGGAGGGTATATCTGCTGTACCTGGATGTAAAAATAGTATTTTGATATTTGGCCCAGCAGGACATCTGGCTAGAAATGAACAGTCAATTTCTGACAATGGATCACATTATCCATAAAGAATTCACTCAGCTTTTTACTGAACTTCCAGGAGAATTCTACCCTTTCAATCCTGTAGTTGTTTGAACTCTTCATGAACTTCATCAGTTAGCTGTGATGATGAGGAACCTTTACCTAACCGGATTTTTATCTGGGTAACTTTTAGCTTTATTAAAAGGGGCGCAGTTAAGTGGGAAAAGGGGAATTAGGGGGAGAGTGGGCCTGCTCAGGCTCAGATTTTATTTCTTACATCCTGTAGACCTCACTTGAAAATTAAGACCATATTAAAGGCTGAAATAAAGCCATGTTATTTTTAAGGCTCCATCCCCAAAAAGTCCATCTTGGGAGAGAGGTGAACATAACTTCACAGTGTATTTAACAGGCAGTTGCATTGCTGTGTCTGTGTGCACTGCTGCCCGCACTCATTCCCGGAGCATCTGCTGCTGGTATCAAACACTCTTCATTCGCAGCTCCTCCCTGAAGAAATCGTTTCAGCAGGTCAGCCTGCTCTGGTTCTAGAACTGGCAGTGCGCAGAGGGAGCGATGGTGAGTGCGGCCCGTGGTAACTCTTCGTCAGAGGTCCCATTGATTATATCTGGAGATACCAGAGTTGAGGATTCACAATGTGAAGAAATGACTGTTTGAAGAAATTAAAAGCAGTCGTGTGTGTGTGTGTGTGTATGTGTGTGTGTGTGTGTACACAGCAACCTGTTCAACCTTAGAGAATGGTACACCTTTCTTAAAATTATGGACAAGTTTTCCCAGTAGTGTTAGCCAGGTTCCTCTGACACTTCCTGACACAGACTTGATCTAAGGGTCACTGCATGTACTCTTCATTGTTCCCTTTGATCTGGATTTGATGAGGCACCTTGGCTGTCTCACTGTCTGCCTGGGGCACATGGGTCCCCGGGTTATCTCAGACTGACACCCTGCGGTTTGGGCTATGATTCCTTGGTGGGGGCCCTGTGGCACTTGCCACAGGACTGTCCGGGAGATGCCTTTCTGTGGACAGCCTGGTGGCTGTTGACCGGGAACTCTGTCTTGGAATGATCCACCTCCTCACCACTTCACACAGACTCAGCACGAGCATCGCTTTGCCCTCCTTGTGCTAATAACAGAGAATTCTTCATCTTCTTTTTCCTTAACACTTCAAAAAATTA